TGGGGTCGAGGCGAACACCCGGACAGCCGGGCCGGAAGCAGGAGGCCGAGAGCTGACCTCGCGAGACGCGGGGCACTCAGAGTTCAGGGGGTCAAGACGCCAGGTCCCTAGCGGGGGTCGGGGCGCGATTTCTGAGCAAAAGAATAAAACCCCCCAGGTCAGGGCGTGGAACCCTGACAACCAAGAGACAGCATGCAAGCAAGGATAAGACACTGGAAGGGCCTGTACATCAGAAACGCGGCTTCCTCCAGGGCCCTCACCAGGGGGCTCCCCAGGCCAGTCCAGAGCGAACAAGCTGCAGCCTCCGCGTGACATAAGGTCGAGGGGTGACCGCCGAACCCCGCAGAGCAGCTCGAGCCCAGCACAGCCTGGAGAGCGCCATCTTCTCGGCGAGGGAGGGGGAGGACAGGTCTTCTTCAGGTCAAGGTTCACCGTGATGCGCGTCCCTTTGACGGCGCGTGCGCATTTCTTGAGAGCTGATTGGCAACCACAGACCGCTGGCCACACGCTAACCCGGCACTGAACGCGCCCGGAGGCCTGAGTGCAGAAGCAGGGCCAGGATTGGACGCAGCCAGTACTTCCTGCTTTCAAGGCGCCGGAAGCAGGCTATCCCCGAAGGAGCGAGTGTTTCTGCCCGTGGTAGGCTCTGTGATCTTGAGGACGTCCTCTCTCTGAGTGACCCCTCTCCATTCCCTAGGGCCGCACTTGCCCTCTGTCCGAGTCTCCTGCATCGGCGCCTGGACGCGGTACGTGCCAGATGTCCATTTGGCAATGTCTGGGGCCACGGCGCCTCCTGGGTGCTGGGAGGACCCGCGGCGCCCTCTAGTGGCGGCGGCGTGCCTAGGCCGGGAACCACCCGTGGCCAGTTAGCATCTGGTGGCAAAGGTCGGGAGCCTGGGAGCGGCCCCTGGGCGAACCGAGTCGGCGTTTCCCAAGTTAGTGGGGAAATGTCTTTCCTTAAGCGCCTCCTGCAGACCAAGCTCGGGTCTCAGCTTGAATGTCACTTTTCTTCTGAAAGTTTTTCTCTGACCGAAGGACACACATTTTCTCTTATCACCCTGTGTATTTTTTTAATAGCACTTACCACTGACATCGTTTATATGTTTTGTTTCCTTGTTTGGCAGGCTCCCTAACTAGGCTGAGAGCAAGTGTTCTGTCTCGTTCACTGCTATACCCTAATTAATTTTTAACAAATTAATTAATAACTGAAACTGGGAAGGGTTCCCAGAAGTGGCACTTAGCTGCCTCCAAACAGTTAAGACCTCTTGAATACATATGAACCCTTTGAGTGCCAACCAATATCCTAGGAACTATGCTAACATTGCCAAGGCATTTTTGCTGATTTCACAGCAGTTTAGGAAAAAAATTATGAATCGCAAGTAAATGAAGTTACATATTAAAAAACTTAAGGAACCCTTTACTACATTGACATATTTAGCAATATCATCATCACTAATAAAAGCAGACTTAGCACTGGATGCCATGTCGAAGCTTTGATAGCGCTCCCGGCACTCTAGGGGTTAATACGGGGTGGGGGCAAACATAGGTTTACAGTTGTTTGTATGGAAAATAATACAGTAATAAATACTAATTCAAGAATAAACTCTGGTTTCTGTGGTAGGCAGTTAGGCATGAGCAGGGCAAGGACGATGGGCCAGGTACGGAAGGTCACCAGCGTGGAAAAGCCCCAGGTACCCAATGGAAACATCCATTCGGGTAACTGCTAGAGCTTGGGGGGGTGGGGAGGGAGGTAGAGGAGTAGAGGAGAGGGGGGATGGAGAGGGAAGGAGGGGCTTTCAAGTTTCCTCTGACCCTAAGGATAAAGTTCAGACTCCTTAACCGGGCCTCCCTTCCGGGCCTCATCTCCTGTCTCATTGTCTCTCTTTCCCCTTAGCTCTCTCTGCTAAGGAATATCGGCCTTTCAGTTCCGCCAAAGGCCAGGCAAGCCACTCTATACCCCTGGCCTTTTGCACCTGTTGCTCTCTGCGTGGCGTTTCTCCCCTCCCTTCTAGCTTGTCTTGCAGGCGCCAGCTGAAATGGTGGTAATGATAGCTAACACTTATTGAGCAGATACTACTGCCATCATTTTTCTTAGGGCTTTACATGTATTAAGTGGTTTAATCCTCCCTTAACTTCATGAGGTAGATACTATCGTTAGCTCCACTTCCTAAGCGAGGTTAAGTAACCTAATCAGTATTTGACTCAGCAGTTGAACCCAGACAGACTGGGCCCATGAATTACTGCAGTTTGTATATAAACAGCGCTGTTACAGGAAACTCTTTCTTAAGCCCTCGGAGTTAGGTTTCCCTGTTATTCATCTTGTAGCTAGCTACAATTATCCTTCATAGTACTTAAAATAATTAACTATAGCATTGTGCTCTTTTTTTTGCATTCTAATTTCTTTATTGATTAAGGTATTGCATATGTGTCCTGCTCCCCATTTGATTCTAAGCTCACTGTATTTCTGGTCCCTAGTACAGTCCCTGGCACAGGAGGTGCTTATTAAGTATTTATTAACTGAATACATATACCTGAGTATAAAGTAATATTTTTCCTCTCAAAATAATTCCTTTGAGCCCACCCAGCATGGTTGAGCGTCGACCTATGAACCAGGAGGTCACGGTCGGGCACATGCCCAGGTTGCAGGCTCAATCCCCAGTGTGGGGCCTGCAGGAGGCAGCCGATCAATGATTCTCTCTCATCATTGATGTTCCTATCTCTCCCTCTCCCTTCCTCTCTCTGAAAGCAATAAAAATATATTTGAAAAATAATAATTCCTTTGAAAGGAAATTGCTTTATATTTTGTGTTCTTTTTTTTCACTAATAAATAGTTAATTTATTCACTAATTCCACAATTATTGAGCTTCTCCCCAGGCCAGGCATTGTTTTTGTTGCTTGAGATAAATCAGAGATTAGATAGATAAAGAGTACAGCCCTACCTGGACGGTGAGATCAGTGGTTGAGTGTCAACCTATAAACCAGGAGGTCACAGTTCAATTCCCAGCCGGGGCACATACCTGGGTTATGGACTCCATCTCGAGTTGGGGGCGTGCAGGAGGCAGCTGATCAGTGATTCTCATCATTGATGTTTCTCTCTGCCTCTCCCTTCCTCTCTGAAATCAATAAAAACATATTAAAAAAAAAGATTGGCCCTAGTTAGAGCATCGTCCTGATACACCAAGCTTGTGAGTTCGATCCCCAGTCAGGGCACATACAAAAATCAATCAATGAATGCATAACTAAGTAGAAAAACAGATTAATGTTTCCCTTTCCCATCCTCTCTCCCTCCCTCCCTCTCTCTCAAATCAATTAATTAAATTTTAAAAAATGAAAAAAGATTACAGCCCTACCTAGTATAGTTTACATTATAAAATGTTTGAGAGATTGTTTGGAATACCAGAGTGAGGTGGTATTCTGGGGCCTCATGTAAAGATTAGATTTGCTTGGGGTCCTCAGGTGTAAAGATTAAAGATTTGAATTTGATTTAAAAGGTCCTAGGGAATCATAATGCATTTTGCCCAAGGGAATGGCAAGATGAAGGTGATATTTTGTAAAAATTACTCTGGAGTTAATATGGATTAGAGTGGGAAGAGACTGGAGGTTCAGGATATCATTAAAGTTATTTTATAACCATTTGGATAAGAGATAGTGAGGAACCACCAGACTGGTGACCATCTTACATGATCCCAGATTTGTGCTACAATAAATGGGCACCAGATTTGAGCTCCCCAAAGCCATGTCATTTAGCTTGTCATCAGCATTTGTTGTTGTTCATTTGGCAAACATTTGAGGGCCTGCTCTATATCATTCTGCTAGGTTCCAGGAAAATAAAGGCAAATGAGAGGCAGGCCCTCTCCAGCCCCCCAGAAACCTCTACTAAAAGCTCAGAGGTTTAGTAGAGAAGATTGACATTTAAAAATAATTGTGGCCCTAGCTGGTTTAACTCAGTGGACAGAGCATTGGCCTGTGGACTGAAGGGTCCCGGGTTTGATTCCGGTCAAGGGCACATGCCCAGTAGGGGGCGTGCAGGAGGCAGCTGATCAATGATTCTCTCTTATTGTTTCTCTCTTTCCCTCTCCCTTCCTCTCTGAAATAAATAAAAATTTTTATTTTAAATAATAATAATAATTGTGCTTCCCCTTCTCCCCTCTCCCTCTCTCTTCACCGCTCTCCACCAGGTGAGGGCACTGTGGGAAGGCAGCCAGCCAGAGAGAGAGCCATTTCCAGAAACCAAACCAGGTGGCTTCCCGATCTTGGACTTCCTGCATCCTGAACTGAGAAAATAAATGTTTATTATTTAAGCCACACAATCTATGATATCAGTCCTAGGTTTGTTTATTTATTTACTTAGTCCCGGGTTTAATGCCTAGAAGGGCCAACGCACAGGAGAGAATGAGGCCCCGGGAAAGATGCCCCGGGTACTTTGTTACATTGTGTCAGATCCTCCACATTCGCAGGAGAAGCCAGAAATTCAAGTTTGTCAAGGTTGGCACTAATTTGAAAAGATTTTAAGAGGAAAAAAATAATTGTACTATCACGTGAGAGGTGCTGTAACAGGAAAATGTCTAAGGTACAGTGAGAGTTGAAGGAAGGAGTAGTAATACATTCTGGTGGTGGTGATGGCGGTGCATCCAGATGCAGAGAAGTCCTGTTTGAACTAGATCACGGAGGATAAATTGGAGACGGACGAAGACAAGTACTGCGAGGACTGGCTCTTTGGAAAGAGGGAACGGTATGTGCAAAGATAAGAAAGACTGGAAGCTTTTCAGGAAAAGATAAACCTCTTGCTAGGACAGATAATAACTGCAGTGATCTGCCACCTTTAGATACTAATTCATTGGGTTTGACAGGTTGGTTTGCGACAAGTTATCCTTCCCAAGGCACTGAAAAAAAAAAAAATCCCAGGATGAAAGAATTTTAATAACCAAGGGTTTGTATTAAAACTTCTTAATTGCATTCCTTTTTTCTTATGTGTTAAACATGTTTTAAAAGGAAAAGAACAAAGAATACTATAACATTCATCTATGTATCTACCACCCAAAATGAATAAATAATGTCAAACCTATTTTCTCCCAAGTCCCAGTTCCCTTTCTTCCTTTAGGCTGCCCCTTTATGTCGGTCCACTTTTAATACTTTGTGTATATATACAGGGTGTCCCCCCCAAAAAATGTTTACACACTCTGAATAATTATATATTCCAGTGTTTAAATCTGAAAAAGAAGACATCAATTAAGCTATCAGATGTTAAAGTGTGTATACATTTATACCCTGTATTTGAGCATTTATATGACAATATATATTTATATATAAATAAGTAGTATATAGTATATTTTTAAAATATATTTTATTGATTTTTTACAGAGAGGAAGGGAGAGGAATAGAGAGTTAGAAACATCGATCAGCTGCCTCCTGCACACCTCCTACTGGGGATGTGCCCGCAACCAAGGTACATGCCCCGACCAGAATCGAACCTGGGACCCCTCAGTCCGCAGGCCAACGCTCTATCCACTGAGCCAAACCGGCCAGGGCTATATAGTATTTTTTAATGTTTTAAATATTCCGGCGCACTCTGCCTCCCGGAGCATGTTTGAGCCTTTTCCTTCCTCCTCTCCTCCAATAGCCATGCCTCTCCTACACTCTGAGGGTCCCCATAAGATTTGCCACCAGGGGAACAATGTGCAGTGGCAGCTCCTCCTGGGCTAACCCTCGGAGCCTGTCACCAAGGCCCCCTTTTCTCTGATTTTCCAGTGAGCTGACAGCAGCCCCGCCTTGGCTCCTTTCTTTCCCGTAACGTTTCTAGAGCCAAAGCAGCCTGGCCTAGTAGTCTCTCTCCTGTTGCTTCTTCTATCCTAAGCCCTTCCTTGTTTCACTGTCCCCAACTTTAATAAACGTGCTCTCAAAATAAAATAAGAAACCATACATTTGGTTTCATGTTGTAACTGGACAACCAATGGGTCCGGACTGCCTATCACAACTTGAGCCAATCAAGTGAAGACAGAGTTGAATCATATATGAGCATTTATTCCAGTACTGCTGGGAGAATGGGAGAGCAGCAGGTCACCCACAAACATCTGCTCTCCAGCCCCCCAGAAGCCAGCTGCTTATATTGGGTAGGACAAAGATTACATGGGGGAGCAGGAATCCCGGGCATGGGGAAGTAGGCAAGGTGGGCTCTGGGAAGCTGGGGTGGGACGCCATTGATGGACCTCATTCCAAGGTTGACTCCCAGGTCCTGGGGATGTACAACTCCCAGCCAGGTTCAAATGTGCTTTCTTTAATCAAAACAAAACAATCACGGTTAACAGAGCATGATTAATATTTCTTACTTTATTTCTTATAGCTAGTCCCCAATATTCTATTTCTGCCCCTAACAATGTGGCATTTTTCTGTTTTGTTTTCCTCAAATTTGTTTTCAGAATTCATCCATGTGATGATATAGACCAAGTTCATTAATGTTAGCTGCTGTGCGGTGTTCCATCACCGGAATACACTCCAGTTTGTTTACCTATTTGCTACTGATAGACATTTACAGTGCTTTCATGTTTCATTATTACAAACACACCATTGCAGGGAACATCCTCGAAGATGTCTCTTTGTTCTTAGGTATAAGAAACTTAAGCAGTGTTTTCAGACTGGTTGTTTTTTTTTAAACCAGATTCATTTTTTCAATAATATATTTTATTGATTTTTTACAGAGAGGAAGGGAGAGGGATGGAGAGTTAGAAACATCGATGAGAGAGAAACATCGATCAGCTGCCTCCTGCATACCCCCTACTGGGGATGTGCCCCCAACCAAGGTACATGCCCTTGACCGGAATCGAACCTGGGACCCTTCAGTCTGCAGGCCGATGCTCTATCCACTGAGCCAAACCGGTCAGGGCTCAGACTGGTTTTTAACCGTGACTCATAGTAAACACATTTTATATCAAAACTCACTTCTAACATTTTATATTCTATTTCATTTTTGTAAAATGCTGGACACGACCCACTTGATTGATTGATTTCAGGAACCACCAGTGGATTGAGAAACACCCTGCTCTAAGGCAATAGACCAGCCGTGGGCAAACTACGGCCCGAGGGCCGGATCCGGCCCATTTGAAATGAATAAAACTAAAAAAAAAAAAGACCGTACCCTTTTATGTAATGATGTTTACTTTGAATTTATATTAGTTCACACAAACACTCCATCCATGCTTTTGTTCTTGCCCTCCGGTCCAGTTTAAGAACCCATTGTGGCCCTCGAGTCAAAAAGTTTGCCCACCCCTGCAATAGACTCTGGGACAAAGGATGTGTGTTTTTTCACCTTGAGCAAGTAACATGTTGCTCTCCAAAGCAGTTGTATCAGTTTTACAGCATAAGAGTCCTCCTAGTTTCTCTACACCCTCATGATGGAAGAAAAGGCTGCTGTAATAAATCTCACCAAAAGTAACCTCACAGGGTGATCTCATCATAAATTCCTAACTGGGAAGGTCATGCTGGGTAGTTTTGCCCAGGCCTGTAACTTCTTTAGTGAAAGGTTTTTAAATTACCCTGTCCATTGTTCTTGTGCATCTAGGTTAACCTTTTAAGAAATATAGATATTTTTTATTGATTTCAGAAAGGAAAGGAGAGGGGGAGAGAGCTACAGAAACATCAATGATGAGAATTATTGATTGGCTGCCCCCTGCACGCCCCCTACTGGGGATCAAGCCCACAATGCGGCCGTGTGTCCTGACCGGTAATCTAACCGTGACCTCCTGGTTCGTGGGTCGACACTCAACAACTGAGCCACACCAACTGGGCTGTAAGGTCCCTCCTTAATGTGTATAAAAGAAACTGCAAACTGACATTTTTTTGAAGCATTTGAGAGCTTTGCTTCCTGGCAGTTGTGGTCAGTTTGGCTCAAATAAACTCAGGTTTGGATGTTTCTTGTGTGGACATCACCAACACTTAAAATGATCAGACTTTTAAATTATTGCTAGCCCAATAGATGTGAATGAATCTCATTGTCCATTTACTCTGCATTTCTCTGATTACTAGAGAAAGCTGATTTTTATATGTATTATTGGTTATTTTAATTTCTTCTGGTAATTCATACCTTTTGTTCACTTTTCTATTGGGCTGTTTATCTTCCTTATTATCATCAGTTTGTAGGACTCCTTTATAGATGCCAGGTAACAGTCTTTCTGATAAACCTGTTCGATGCAGATATCTACTCCCTGTCTTCCCATCTGTCACTTGTAATTTAACCTTGTTTAAGATGTTTTTCATGTAGGAGTTTTGTGGGGTTTTTAAAAAATATTTTTATTGATTTCAGAGAGGAAGGGAGAGGCAGAGAGAGATAGAAACATCAATGATGACAGAGAATCATTGATCGGCTGCCTCCTGCGCGCCCCCTACTGGGGATCGAGCCTGCAACCCCAGCACGTGCCCTTGGCTGGAAATCGAACCTGGGATCCTTCAGGCCGACACTCTATCCACTAAGCCAAACCAGCTAGAGCTCATGTAGAAGTTTTTAATATTTGTTATACTAAATTTTATCAAAATTGTTCATTATGACTTCTGCTCTTTCATAATTTGCCTTAAGAAATTCTGCCTTAAGAGCATAAAGAGCCCTAACCGGTTTGGCTCAGTGGATAGAGTGTCAGCCTGCGGACTGAAGGGTCCCAGGTTTGATTCCGGTCAAGGGCATGTACCTTGGTTGCGGGCACATCCCCAGTAGGAGGTGTGCAGGAGGCAGCTGATGGATGGTTCTCATCGATGTTTCTAACTCCCTATCCCTCTCCCTCCTCTCTGTAAAATTCAATATAATGTATTTTTTAAAAAGAGCATAAAGATATTCTATATTTTTTCAGATAATTTTGAATTTGTTTTATAAGTTTAGGTCTTTAATTCACATGGAGTGTATTTTTGCCTGTTCCTTTTCTATCTTCTGAATTTCTGGGCTCACTATTTGACTTTTCACATTTCTTTCTGTAGTGGTTATCTTTCGCATTCTAGCCATTTTACTTCATCCCTGTGAGTTTTTTTCTTAAAAATATCAGAATGGGAATATAGATAAGGCCAACGCTTAGAAAAGTAGCTCTTTGGAGGCCTGTAAGAAGAAACAGATGGCAAAGATGAGGTAAAGGGAATAATTGGAAGGAATCTCTGCAAAAGATGATATACAAGGGTTATTCACCCATCACACCCAGAACCTGAGGGTCCTGGAAGAAGAATTATCCTTGTGGGGAGAAAAGGTGTTTCAGACAGCTGGCCCTGAAAGGGAAGAGGTGTAGACTTCTGACAGGATTTTTTTAAAATCCTCACCTGAAGGTATGTTTTTCATTGAAGAGAGAGAGAGAGAGAGAGAGAGAGAGAGAGAGAGAGAGAGAAACATGAGTCGGTTGCCTTCAGTTCCCACCCCGACTGGGGATCAAACTCGAAACCTGGGTATGTGCCCTGACTGGGAGTTGAACCCTTCAGTGCTCTGGACAATGCTCACCAAATGAGCCACACCAGACAGGGCACACATCTCCTTTTTAACTGCACCTCTCTGCCCTATCTGCAAGCCCTGTGAGCTTTTTCTGGATTGCACTAGAAGACTGTGCAATAGAGTCATACAGAAGTTGGTGAGACGCAGGTCTTCTGCTTCACATCGGAAGGGTTCAGTGCCCTCCCCATCTTCCACACAGGCACGCATCTCCTAAACTCTAAGGGACCTCGAGACTTGTAATCAGGGCAGCAGTGGGCAGCAGCAGCTGGTCCCAAGCTAATCCGCTGAACCTGTCCCCAAGGCCCCCTTTTCTCTGACTTCTCAGTGAGCCAATGCTGCCCCACCTAGGCGCTCTCCTTTGCTTCTTCTACCCTAAGCCCTTCTTTGTTTCACTGTCCCCAGCTTTAAAAAACATACCCTCAAAAAAAAAAAAAAAGAAAGGGTTCTGCTGAGGCCAGCTGAAGCCAGTTTGTGAGAGAAGACCTGTAAGAGAAGAGGAGGTTATCACTTTCAGAGGAGCAGTATTCCAAATGACAAGAAATAGCCTTTGATTTCTACTGTAATCATTGAAGTCATAATCATCATCAAAAGCCTTTATCAGTGCCTGCCTGCAACAGGCAATCAAAAGGAGGACACAACTAAATTTAGAATGCATTATTCATGAACAAGTCTAATAATTTACACTACGAAAATTAATATACATAGATGAGTAAAGGACATATCTATATGATAATAAAAAAGGCAGACCAATCTAGCCACTGTGGACAGTAAAGAATTAACATCAAACACGTCAGAAGTCAGTGCAATTCCACTGGGCGCAGAGCAGTGCCTACCAGGGGTTGGTTATAGGGGTTCCAAGTTCAGGGAAACCGATTAGGGAGGGCGGGTCTCTTGCTTTCTGACTCCCTCCACTTTTTTCCACCCTGCGTACGCACGCCCCACCCCAAACCTTTTCTGTTCCAGGCAACATAACCCTTGGTATCGCTCGAGTTCAGAGGAACTTTTACTTTATGTGAGTCTTCGGCTCTGCCTACGGGGACCTTTACCCGGCATCAGCGGGAACCACCCTCAGGAGCCCTTTTGTGCTGCCCGGCACGTCCACAGCAATTAGAGCAAAAGGACAGAGGTAAGCGAACTCCTGGAGAGAGATTTTCCCCACCCAGCTGTGGCAGGGTCACCTAGGGTCTCTTCCATCAGTCTTGATATTCACCATGATGCATGGCTCATTATCTAGCCAGCACCACTTTACTGAACTTCTAGGCACATTTGCACAGTCAGCAAGATTCATAAATGTTTTACCTAACTGAGTCAATATTAGAAAGACTTCAAGGATTTTGCAGTTTGCCCTGGCCGGGTAGCACAGTTAGTTAGAGCATTGTCCCCATATGCCAATCCCTGTCATACAAGAATCAACCAATGAATGCATAAATAAATGGAACAACAAATCAGTGTTTTTCTCTCTCTAAAATTAATAAAAATTTTTAAAAAATGATTTTGCAGTTTAATATCACTATCATAAAATTACTAGCATATATTTAATGTAAGACAAAGGAATAATATGTTCACATACACATACAAATTGATCTTGTCTCAGGGTCTTTTTAAAAATTTGTTGATTTAGAGAGAGAGGAAGGAGGAAAGAGAGAAACATTGATTTGTTGTTCCACTTATTTATGCATTTATTGGTTGATTCTTGCGTGTGCCCTGCCCCAGGGATCGAACCTGCAACCTTGACATATCAGGAAGACACTCTAACCAACTGAGCTACCTGGCCAGGGTTTAAATTTATTTTGTAATAGAATTTATCACCCCCTGACATATACTTATTGACTTATTTATTATTTGTCTCCCCCACAGAACCAGTTCTCTAAGAGCAGGAACTTTGTATGTCTTTGATCATTGCTGTCTTCCAGAGCCTAGAACAGAACCTGGCACACAGTAGATGCTCAATGTTGTATTTATTAAATGAATGAAATTAAATGGAACAAACATATGTGTTCGTGTGTTCTTATTCTTAATGTATGATGAAGTTAAATAGAAGACTCAAAGATGTCTTTTTTAAAATAATTTTTTTATTTTTCAATTACACTTGACATACAATATTATATCAGTTTCAGGTGCACAACCCAGTAATTAGACATAACTTAAGTAATGATCTCAAAAAATCTCATACCCATCTGACACCATACCTAGTTTTTAGAATATTATTGACTATACTAGAGGCCTGTTGCACGAAGAGATTCGTGCAATAGGCCTTCCTTCCCCTGGCTGCCAGCACTGGTTTTCCTCTGGCACCCGGGACCCAGGCCTTCGCTCCGGCCACAGCGGAGAAGCCAAGCCTCTTCAGTCTTCAGTTGTCTTCAGTCTTTGCTCCATGCCTGTATATGCAAATTAACTGCCATCTTTGGTGGGTTCATTTGCATACTCATCCTGATTGGTTGGTGGGTGTAGCGGAGTGACACCAATTTGCATGCTTCTCTTTTATTAGTATAGATTCCCTATGCTGTACTTTACACCCCCATGACTATACAAACTACTAATTTGTGCTTCTAAATCCCTTTGCCTTTTTCACCCATTTCCCCAACCCTCCTCCCATCTGGCAACTGTCAAACTGTTCTCTGTATCTATGAGTCTATTTCTGCTTCTTCATTTATTTTGATTTTTCGATTCAATTGTTGATAGATATGTATTGCCATTTTATTGTTCATATTTTTTTAATCTTTTTCTTTAAAAAAAACCTTTAACATTTCATGTAATACTGGTTTGGTGGTGATGAAATCCTTTAGCTTTTTCTTGTCTGGGAAGCTCTTTATCTGACCTTCAATTCTAAATGATAGCTTTGCTGGGTAGAGTAATTTTGGTTGTAGGTTCTTGCTTTTCATCACTTTGAATATTTCTTGCCACTCCCTTCTGGCCTGCATAATTTCTGTTAAGAAATCAGCTGACTGCCTTAGCCAGCTTGGCTCAGTGGATAGAGCATCAGCCTGCAGACTGAAGGGTCCCAGGTTTGATTCCAGACAAGGGCACATGCCTCGGTTGCGGGCTTGATCCCCAGTACGGGGCTTGCAGGAGGCAGCCGATCAATGATTCTCTCTCATCATTGATGTTTCTCTCTCTCTCTCTCTCTACTTCTCCCTTCCTCTCTGAAATCAATAAATAAATATATTTAAAAAAAAAAAAGAAAGAAATCAGCTGACAGTCGTATGGGTGCTCCCTTGTCAGTAACTAACTGCTTTTCTCTTGCTGCTTTTAAGATGCTCTCTTTGCCTTTAACCTTTGGCATTTTAATTATGATGTGTCTTGGTGTGGGCCAATTTAGATTTATCTTGTTTGGGACTCTCTGTGCTTCCTGGACTTGTATGCCTATTTCTTTCATCAGATATGGAAAGTTTTCTGTCATTATTTTTTCAAATAGGTTTTCAATTTCTTTCTCCTTCCAGGACCCCATGATGTGAATGTTGGTACACTTGAAGTTGTCCCAGAGGCTTCTTACACTATCTTTATATTTTTTTATTATTTTTTGTTTTTACTGTTCTGATTGGGTGTTTTTGTTTTTGTTTTAATATATTTTATTGATTTTTTACAGAGAGGAAGGGAGAGGGATAGAGAGTTAGAAACATCGATGAGAGAGAAACATCGATCAGCTGCCTCTTGCACACCCCCTACTTGGGATGTGCTCGCAATCAGGGTATATGCCCTTGACCGGAATCGAACCTGGGACCTTTGAGTCCACAGGCTGACGCTCTATCCACTGAGCCAAACCGGTCAGGGCAATTGGGTGTTTTTTTGCTTTCTCATATTCCAAATCCCTGATTTGATTCTCAGCATCCTCTACTCTGTTGTTGATTTCCTGTAAATTATTCTTCATTTTAGTTAGTGTATCCTTCATTTCTGACTGGTTCTTTTTTATGGTTCCTAAGTCCTTTTTCATGCTATTTAAGTTCTCACTAAGTTCCTTGAAGTTCTCAGTAAGTTCTTTGAGCATCCCTATAACCATTGTTTTGAACTCTGTTTCTGATAGTTTACTTGATTCCATTTCATTTAGTTCTTTTTCTGGAGATTTCTCCTGTTCTTTCATTTGCAACATGTGTCTTTGCCTCCACATTGTGGCTACTTCTTTGTGTTTGTTCCTATGTATTAGGTAGAACTGCTATGTCTCCTGGACTTGGTAGAGTGGCCTTGTGTAGTAGGTGTCCTGTAGGGCCCAGCGGTGCAACCTCCCAGTCACCTGAGGTGGGTGTTTCAGGTGTGCCCCTGTGTGGTCTGTGTGCACTGTCCTGTTGTAGTTGAGCCTTAATTGTTGTTGGCATCACTGGGAAGGATTGATTCCCAAGATAATTGGCTGTGAGGACCAGCTTCAACTATAGCAAAAGAGCTGCTGTGCAGGAGTTGACCCTAGGGAGCAGGATTTCCATGGGGCTTTGGTGCTCACGGAGTCCACCCCTTGAGTCTGTCGCTCATGGAGGTGATGGGGTTGTAATTGAGCAAGGTCTGAAGCTGTCCGCCAGTGCACTGGTACTGGGGCCTCCCAGGAGGTGCAAAGTCAACCACTGCCTGTGCCCTGCCTGGGGCCACCCAGCACTAGCACTGAGCAATCTATAGATGGCTGCTATGTGTGTTGGGCTTGGAGGTGCCCAGGAGATGCCAGGCTGTGAACCAAGGTAGGCTGCCGCTAGTGCTGGGCCTGTGGCCATTTAGTGACAGGTACAGAGCACATTGAGGCCAGCTGCTGCTTGTTTGAGAGATTTTAGGAAAGTCCAAAGCATGAGGCAAGAGACATGAGTTGTATAGAAAAGCCACTGGAAATGACTTGGGTGAGCCTGCAAGTTGGGTGCGGACAGGGTCTCAGGGAATCATCAGGGTGGGGCAAACAGTGTGAGCAGGTTGATAGAGACTCAGATATGGTGCCCACCTGCCAGCCCTGTGTGGGGGAAGGTTCAGCAAAGGAACAATGGCTTCTGCCAGCACTTCTGTCTGGGAGAATTCTGCCCTTCCAGCCAACTTTCAAGCGTTGCCCTGGTGCCAGACAATTTAGTTCCTTCCTGTATACCCCTGGTTCCTTTCAAGTTGCTGCTCAATGCTGGAGCTCAGAGGGAGTGAGTCCAGGTAAGTCTGTGCACAGGTCCTTTAAGAAGAAATGTCTGGGACTCCTGCTACCCTCCGTCTTTCTCAGCCTGATTCCCCACTGGTTTTTACAGCCTGAAGTTATCGGGACTTTTCCTGGCACTGGAACCCTGGGCTGAGAGGTCTGGTGTGGGGCAGGGACGACTTGCTTCTCAGGGGGGACCTCCAGAGCCAAGATATTTCTCCCAATTAAAAAACACCAAATGGTTCTGTGCCTCTGCCCCTCCTACCAGTCTCAATGTGGCTTCTTCTTTAATTCCTTAGGACTTCCATTCACCTAGATTTCAGGTGGTTCTGAAGATTAGTTGTTGTTTTTTAAAATATATTTTTATTGATTTCAGAGAGGAAGGGAGAGGGAGAGAGATATAGAAACATCAATGATAAGAGAGAATCATTGATTGGCTGCCTCCTGCACGCTCCACACTGGGGATTTAGCCTACAACCGGGGCATGTGCCCTGACTGGGAATCGAATCATGACCTCCTGGTTCACAGGTCAATGCTTAACCACTGAGCCATGCCAGCTGGGCGATTAGTTGTATTTTTGATGTATTTGTGGGAGGATTCTAGTACCACGTTTACCTACATTGCCATCTTACCTGGAGGCCCAACATGTCTTTCTAAACTAATTCTGTTCAGCTTTAGGAACTTGGTTATTCTGCATCTCTGACTCCACCCCCCAAGAAGACTCCCCACCAACCTCTTTCTCAGTCCATTAATGGTCACCAGAATGTTTGCACAAGCATTATTTTACAGGCTCTTTGGGTGGTCCATTGACCATGGAAAACATCCTGTGACTACCCTGAGATCAACCACCAATAGACAAGAAGCATGGGACAACTGGCCTCATCCTCATTCCCAAGCCCCACACCACTCCAAGGCCCCTGTACAAGCCACCCACAAGAACCCCTTGGAGAGCTTGACTTCTCTTTTCTGGTAACTCCACCTAGGACAAGTTCTTTTCAATGAACTCTATCTGCTTGATTTGTACTGAGTTCAGTGCTCATTTTTAGGACATTGATACTCCAGAACCTGGCATTTAAGGTCTGGTAACATGACTATGTGAGAATCCGGGGCCCAGAAGGCAAGAGTGGAGTGTGTATGTTGGGAGAAACTGCTGAGTAAAGAAAACAGCGGGGCAATGGTAGAGACTCACTGTAAAATCCATTCCAATGTTTGGAATTCCAAAACTAAAATAGGGCTTTTTCCTCCAACACTTTAGTTGGATGATTTCATCTAACTTCTCTCTGGTGAAGGGGGACAAATTGGTGGCCAGCCCAGTTTTGCCTTAGGAAACTTGGCCAACAAGGACAAAAAGAAGGATAGATCAAGTTGTTATGATAGGACTTCTAGTAAATACTTGAGGGCACTCCTGACTAAAGAGATCTTAATCTGGGGTCCTGGCAGATCACTACCTAGTTTCTTCTACTGACTGTTCTATGTGTAGGAACCAGAGCCACTTGCTGGAAGTCTACCTTGATTAATATGAATTAATAACTACTTTTCTTTTCCATTCTAAGGTATTTATTTCTATCACATTCATTTGTATATATTTTTATGGTACTAAGCAGATTTTCTTTTTTTTCTCCTTCACCCTCTTCCCTGTTAAGACCACCCCCAAATACTTCAAGTAAAGTTAAGGGGTTACATACTTTAAAAATCTGATTAAGGGGTGGGAAAAAGAATAACCACCAGCCATTTCTCTAATGGACAGCTCCACCACAGACCTCAAAGAGAGAACTGCTCAGGTTCTAGTCTCTAGAAACTATAAACCTGTGGTGTTCTGATTATCCTGAAACTGGATTTTATTTTTTTCTGTTACCCTGAGTAATTTGCCTTTGAGATTCTAGACAGACCTACGGAGAAAAGAA